ATGTCCTTACGAGAAGCTACTTAATCTTCTTTGACCATGGAAGATAAGTTTTGCCAAGCCCGCACGAGAACCACCGATGCTGGTGGTTTATAGTTGCTAGATGAGAAAGTAATCAGAGAAGTTGAGGTGAACCAATAATGCCGCCAGTAGTTAGGGCGGAGAAGCACAGCTATGCGGTAGAGAATGGGGGGGGAAGCATGAGAAAGCGTTGAAGACAACAGACATTATTACCACAAAATGCTTGTGGTGGTGCCTCCCAGAGACGGCGGTATCCACTACCATTAAAGGAAAAAGATTATTGTAAGAGAGGGAGTGATGAGAGACGAGTGAGAGGAGGAGACGAGAGTGAGGAAAGAAATTAGGGTTGTGGTTGTGTTTTTGACTTTGGAGCCTAAATTTTAGTTTTTAACAAACTAATCGGGTCTGGGTCCGAGTCTGGGTCCGTCGGGTGGTTTGGGGGAATTAATGGCAACGTTCAATGAACGTTGCTAAAATTGATTAATGGCAAGTTCAAGTGAATGTTGCTAAAACCTCTAATGGCAACGTTCAATGAACGTTGCTAAATATGATCAATGGCAACGTTCCATGAACATTGCTAAAACCAATCAACGGTAATGTTCACATAAACGTTGCTAATACTGATTAATGACTAACGTTGCTAAATCTGATCAATGGCAACGTCCCATGAACGTTGCTAAAACCGATCAACGGTAACGATCACATAAACGTTGCTAAAAATGATTAACGACAACGTTCGTTGAGCATTGCTAAAACTAATAACGGCAACGTTCATGTGAACGTTGCTAAAGCCTCTAATGGCAAATGAACGTTGCTAAAACTGATTAACGACAACATTCAATGAACTTTGCTAAAACTGATCAACGACAACATTCACATGAACGTTGCTAAAACTGATTAATGACAACTTTTGTTGAACATTGCTAAAACTGATCAACGACAACGTTCACATGAACGTTGCTAAAACTGATTAATGACAAATTTTGTTGAACGTTGCTAAAACTAATCAATGGCAACATTCATTGAACGTTGCAAAAATACTACAGCAACACGCATTGTACGTTACAAAAAAGAAAATAACAACGGTCTGTGAACATTGTAAAATGGTTTTTTAGCAACATTCATTAAAAAATCATTGTTAAATCTTAATTTTGTCAACCAATGGCAGCAAACACTTGCTGAACATTGCAATAAACCCCTTTTAACAACGTACAATTAATGAATGTTGCCTTTTACATGTTGCAAAAGGCCTTTTTTCTTGTAGTGAAACCAAACACCTACATCTTTGCGTTGTAATTTATGAGCCAACCAAATTACATGTGTGACCTAAACACTTGATTCCAGTGAAGTGACCAAGTCATTTCCCCTAAAAAAATTTATATGTCCTTGACTCATAATTATGTTAAACTCCTTATCATCAAACATTCCTAAGGACACTAAGTTTCTTTTCAGATCTGGGACATGTCTTATGTTTTCTAGAAACAAAACATTACCATTTTCTAGTAATAATTTGACAGTCTCAATTCCACTCACTTTACATGCAAAGTTGTTTTCCATTATAACATGTCCCCCTTTGGTTCTTTCTAAATTTATAAAACAGTTTTTGTTGCGGCACATATGAAAAGAACATCCTGAGTCAAGTATCCATTCATTACTTAGGCATTTTTCAGTACTTACTAACACAAAACCATTTTCTGTTTTAGTTTTATCGTAGACTAATGCAATACTTCCATCAATGCCCTTTTCTTTTGAATCATTTTTTCTTTTTAAAACAATCTTTTGCAAAATGACCAAGCTTACCACAATAATAACATTTTTTACCTTTTGCATTATTTTTGGTCTTACTTTTGTCGACCCATCTTCTATTAGTTTTTGAAAACTTAAAATTTTGTGCAGGTTTTTCAAAAGATTTTCCTTTAATTAAGAAACTAATTCCAGTATGACTGTTACTTGACTCAGCCTTAATTTCTAGAGCTTTATTCCTTAAAGCATTGGTTATATAATCAACAATGAGTTCTTCCCTACCATATTCAAGGGCAGCTTTAATGTCCTTATACTTGTCACTTATGGAGTTTAACAGAACTACAGCCAATGATCTTTTGAAAGTTTTTCATCACAATTGGCCAAGTCTTGGGTAAGTTTTGTGAACCTACTAAGGTTCTCTTCTAAGTCAACTGCAGGATCTATTTTAAAGGAGAAGAATTGTTTTAAAAGAAAACATTTATTTGGAGTGGTTTTAGTCTCATACTTAGCCTTAAGTTTTGCCCAAAGATTAGAGGCAGTAGTAGTTTCACCTATCTCTCTGATCATATTATCAGACAAATACAGAAATATGGTACTCCAAGCAATTTCCTCACGTTCAAATTTCTTATTAGATGCTAAACCCTCAGGCCATGAATCATCTAATGCCTTAGCACATTTCATTTGCATCAAAATGGCTTTCATTTTCTGACTCCACATATCAAAATCAATTTTGCCATCAAATTGACTAACTTCAAATTTAGCAGTAGCCATAGTGCAGACAAATTTTCATACAAGATTAATTTGGACTCACAGTAGTTTATCCAAGAAGTCAAGAAAAGTTAATTTGTATCAAGTTTGAAATACAGTAGAACACACAGTAGTACAAAGTTTCACAATTCTCGCAATATTGAAAGAAAACAGGCAAGATCAATTAACAGACAACAATCACAGAGACTGAATTCAAGGTTTCACAGTTCTCTCCAACAAGATTCTTCAAGTGCACACCCGTACTTGATTTATCTCAGATTCCAGGGGAAAACCTCAATCGAACATAAATAAATTGCAGAAAATTAAAAGAACACTTTCGGCCTAAGCCCCGGAAGTTTGGCGACCACATCTAACGTCTACATCCCCCGTTGAGCATCCAAAGATTTGGATTGTGCTCGGTTGCACTAAACAGCCAAAAATGGCAATAGATTTACAGAACGTTCAAAGAGATGAAAAATGAGACTTATCTCTCAAGTACAACAACAGATCTACAAAGATTCACTCAGATCTCAGCACAGAAAATCTTCGAACAACACCAGATGATACAACAGAGAAATCACTCAGATTTCTTCACCATTCACACAGAATACAACAATCGAAGGAAGATCTTACTGCACTTAGTGTAAAATCAGAGATTTTACACAAGAATCACTCAAAGAAAAACAGAAACACTTAGATCGCCATTTTTCTCTTTGAAAGAAACCATAGAGTCGAGAGTGAAATGAAAGGGTCTTTCAACGTTCCAGAAGGCTCCAGCCTTTTAACTCAAGTCAGATGAAATGGTTTAATCCAACGTCCAAGAGTAGTCCACGTGTCGGCCATCTAGTAAAGTATCAAAACTAAGTAAGTCGTGTTTTAATAAAACACGGTTTCACCAAAAATCAAATTATGGAAGCATTAAATAGGCGAACAAGGTTCGACTCCAACAATAATCATTGCAAATTAATCGAAAAATATTTCTTACAAACTATACACTACGTCTTTACACCATAATTTATTATCCAACCAAATTACATGTGTAACTAGAAAACTTGATTCCAACAAAAATTATAATAGACGCCCTTCATTATTAAATTGGACCCAGTCAAGACAAGCATACAGTTCCCCTAAACCTGATCTGGCAAAACCTATAATGATAAGCATATGAAATTCAACCCCGCTACACGTACTTGCCGGTTGACTTGCTGAGTTACACGCTAACATGTCCAAGAAAAGAAAAAACGGGTGTAGTCTCTTGAACCGACCCCAAATGCATCATACTCGAACGCAATTTCACTCTCACCTCAAACCCTACCACTATTTTCCCCTCACAGCGGCCTCGTCCCAAATGCAAAAAACCTCTCATGAATAATCTCATGCGAGAAGATCTAAGGCTACAAGATTGAAGCCCACCATACGCAGCAGAATCGACCGTCGCTGAGGCCTTCTTCTCCGGCAAAATCTCCGATTGTAGGGGTTCCAGCCTCGACTCGATTTCGAAAAATTTCAGTTTCGCCTCTCCACTTGCCGATCATTCGCAGGACCTTGAAGGTGCATTTCTTATACTTTATGTGATAGAAGCAATTATATAAATATTAATCTTTTTTGCATTTAGTAGCTTGATGCGTTGATTTGGCTCTTTGAATCCGAAGGGTGAGAGGGAAAGAGCTCTTAAAAAGCAGCTGGAGAAAAACTACAACAAAATAAAGTAAGTTGTTCATGACCTTGTACCAAGATTGTTCATTTCGCAGTTTCCATGCCTCAAGTAAGGGGTGGAGGGGTGGTGTGGGGAGGGGGAAGTGGGAGAAAGTGATGATTTTAGTTTTTTTGTGATCTTCGATTTTGGGGTTTTTGATTTTGTTCGGTAATTTTTAACAAAAAATTGAATGACGAAGATCACTTTTTCCAAAATAAACTACAGATCTCGTGATATTGGTGTTGAATTTGAGTGATCTATGTGATGTTTTGAGATTGACTTGAATCTATGATTTGGGAATTTTGGTTTTGAGTGAAAATTTTTCACAGAAGATTGGGGGTTTTCACAAAAAAACTCAAATCATCACACACATTTTCTCAGTTTCCTTGTAACAAAATAAACCACTAGTATTTTAGATCATGTTTTCTGAATTATGTCATCAATGCCTGTAGGAAGATTTACGCATCAAGTTATAAATTTTAGTAACATTTATGCATTTTCAGTTTGTTTGATACTGCAGTCCAATCTCTTGGATATTGCATTTGGTAGGAAGAAGTTATAAATTCTAGTGAACTTAATACACGAGCTTCACACGAGGAAATTTTTCAGTGATTTTGATGTGTCATTCACGAGCTAAAGAAAACTTTACTTTGAAATTGACAGATGATACTAGTTGATAGACAAAAAATGATGTCAATTTCTAATATATGTGGATATTTCATAAGCTTTCTTAATGAGGTCAGATACATGCAAATTTCGAAGTTAGATGGATTAAATGCCGAATAAACATACATCCACTGACCTGAATTAATACACATCTGTTCACAATATTTGTTGGATTAATAATATAAGATTTGATATTTGACGTCCAAAGTAACCTTTTGAGGTTAAAAGTGCAATCGGGAAGCTTATATTACTGTCAGAATTGTTTAAAGAATGTCGTTGAGAAATAAATGTTCTTGCTGAATCTCTGTTATTATTCCGCAGCTGTTTAGTTGGTTGTTATTATCAGAAACACTTGAGAGGGATTTTATGACTTATCTCTACACTCATGGCCAATTTTAAGATCAGTTCATGCATTTCTGTGTAGCATGCTGGGAAAGAACTCCAGACTTTGTCATAGCTGTAGAGGGAAGGGTCACTTGTTTGCTGATTGCCCAAACAAAAGGTGATGCCCCTTGTGTAAATGTGGAATTGTGAAGTGCTTTGAGGTCGAGAGGGAGACAAAGAACAAGGGAAGATTGCTCGACTGCTGCAGTGCTAATTGTAAATATTGGCATGGGTCGATGAGGGAGAATCAAGCAGTGGGTCAAGTAATGTTACCTCGAATTCGAATAATCATGCAGCACTTGAAGATGTTCAGCAGTTCTCTTGCATGTTCCAGTCTCTTTGTCACGTGGTCTCTAAGGAACGAAACATTGAGATTTCTTTAAATGTGACAATAAGGAATGGCAATGAAAGTACGGAAGTGGATGTGAAAGGGAAGGGGCCAGCATGATTTGTGGTTAGCTAAATAAGTGATTAGTGTAGTTGATGTATCTTGTTAATATTGGTGTTTGCACTAAGGTGTTGGCCAGAAAATTATTCCTTGTAAACGGTCATGTTGTTGTCTTAATGTGATTATTCTGGCTTGAAGTTATTTTTATGCAAAGCTATTGAGTGTGAAATATTATTTTTCGTTACTGTACGTAAAGCTATAAATTGCCTCCTGACCAACGTAAAACATCAAATTGACTGTTTCAAACCATCTCCAATATCAAATTTCTTTATATTCCATCAGGCAAAACTACGCACGCATCTAACGATGCAGTCAACCTAGCTTTACAACCCGTTTGAATGGTAGCTTGCATCTTCATAGAACCGCTTGTGTTACTACTTCTACGACCTTCACGGCTATATGTAAACACAACGTATCTTACAATTCCATCATCATCCTTTTGCGAATTTCTTTTCCTAACTGGAAAGCCTATGTTGTACACATATTGTTTGTAAAAATCAAACATTTCTTTTTCATTGCTAAACTTCATACCTACTTCGGGCACAATCATACCATCTAGTCCTACAATTCCATCGTCTACTACATTCACACTTTCCAACATCTTCTCGTTATATGATTCTAACAAGATATCGTTGTCTGCCTCTTCCAAAATTCCTTTCGCTGCGACAAACAAAAAAAAAATTGTAAAGTTTATATATGTAAACCTCTTGAAACCGACTTCACTTGAAAAATTAAGAATATATCCGATTGCAAGTAACAAAATTCAGAAAATTAAATACATTTTCAAAATACAGAATTGCAGCATCACCATCTATAACCTAGTCCCAGAAAACTTAAAAATGACAGGATAAAATTAAACGCTTAGGTGACTTGCAGATTAGAAGTGATGACAAGTCCTGTTCTACAAAATATTGTTGCGTCTTTTGGTCCCATACTTTCAATACTTGGACACACATTTTAAGTAACTTTAAAGATTTTGACTTGACATATTGATCAAATGGGTTAATTTCCTAAGAAATAACGTGTTGCATTTAACTACACCAGAAGGCAGAAACAACTTTTTTCTTTACAAAGGTTCAATTTCTATCAAATTGTCTGCATATTCATTCATTTTCACGATTGCTAATGTCTTTATGAAAGCTTTTGGAAACTGCACTAGATTAAATCGAATGGAATTAGAGTAAAAAAACATCACTTAGTTGTAGTCAATCCATCCGAAACTTTGCTCATGACAAAGCTTACGTTCTTACAACAAATCTGTTTGGTCTTACAGCACGAAAAAATGCAAGGGAAAGAGTATACCTTTGTCCCTAACCCCTAAAGCAGTATCAAACAAAAATGGGAAAGGGGAATACCTTTGTCCGTCATCTCTTCGACTCAAACCAGATTTCGACTTCCACTTTGCTTCCAAAATGAACCCAATGTTGGATATTTCACAGAATACCAAGCGTAGCGACGACTCGAAATCGCGGCCGAGAGATATTAGTGAAGAAATTGACCCATATTTCCTAAACCCATTCCTTTCGGTGAAATGGACCCAGCGTCGGATAATTTCCCCTTTATGAAGAAGATATGGGCAGCCGTAAATCAGCTCAAAGAGAAGAGTCCCGCTTTCCCAGCAAAGATGAAAAATCTGATTTCACGCAAGTTTTGAATGGAATGGAAAAGAACGCCAAGCCCCAAAGTCAAATGAAAGAAATGGGCCCCCCACCGCCTAAACCATTTATTCTATATTTTGTGTTATTGTTAGGAACCACTTATTATTCTTTTTTTTCTTTTTTTGGACAAACCCACGTTAGCGTGTAAACGAGCGGGTAAGGCAAAGAGTACAACTAGCTTTATTCTATGAAATTACCACTAGATCTCCTACCAAAAAACAACATAAACATGAGAAATTACAACGTCAACTTCGAGAAGAGGGATAATTACCATCATTCTACATAATTCAAAATTATATTAAATCAACGAATAGCACATAGCATTACTCACCTGTACAATTCAATAACTGACTTAAATCTTCATAGCAGTATACCAAAACACAATAAATCTATAAAATTATCAACGATGAATCAATAGGCAATGCAGCTACAACACAATAATGCTGTTGAAAAGATCTAAAATGAATAAGTATGACTGTTAAAGCTTGAGAAGCGTGTTAATAATAATATATAAATGAAATCATTTAACAAAAACAAGATTCAGTCTTATTTTTTTAAATACACAAACTATGTCCAAATTAGTAAAAATAATATCATTAACAAGTAATTCAAAACTCTGTGATCATAAAAATACACAAACTATATCCAACTTAGTGAAAAAAATAAAAAAATAAAAAATAATGATTCAACTTAGTACCATAATCTTATTATCACCACTAAAAATTGCCAAGCATCCATATATATACACAACTAAAGCATGTGTCAGGGAGAAGTAAACCTCGTATCGTGGTCGTAACTATGAGAATTGAAGTCAGTGACAGTTCCTGAAATTGAGCCACGTGTCACGAGCGAGAATTCCGGAGTCTCCGTTGCCATCTTAACCTGCATGTTCAATGCCCATGAAAAGTCCATCAAATCATCCACCTTAACGGAACTTGCTACAAAATTCGGCATCCCCACCTTTGGAGAATACACTACCTCGAAAGGGGTTTCTTCTTCTACCATTGTCGGAAATTTCCACTCATGGTTATTTTTTGTGGGCCACGGCCCTCTCCTAACAAGGGGCGAAGCTATAAAAAAAATTTAGTGCGGGCAAAATTTATGGTTAAATTTGAAGTGTAAAAAAATTATCTTTATAATTAACTAATGAGGTAGTCTTGTGAATAGTGGAAAATTGCAAATTTTTACAAACTATAGTATAAATATTTATGAGATTTGTTTGCATTTAATAGTTTCTGAGGTTATTTAATTGGCATTTTTCACTTGATTGGCTAAAGTTTCTCACTTCATTAGTTTGACCGCGGATGAAAACTGAACCTCGTTACTTAGTTTCACATTTCTTTGCCTGGAATTCAGTGATTGAAATTTGAATTTTATCGAAGGCAATTTAACATTCATATGAACAAACACAAGGCCAGAATTTCCATCCATGTTTTTGTTTTAATTGGACAGCTGTTTCCAGTTTTTCAATTTTTCTCCCAAAGTTGAGCTCAAACTACATGTGGCTCCGCCCCTGCTCCTAACCCCGATGAAGAGTTCATTGGTGGATGTTTGCGCATGAAAACCACAGAGTTCTCGGTAGCAAGTTGTTTGTTGTTGACAAACCTATTCCATCCGATGGTGAGCAAGTGATGAGGCAGGGCCCCACGGTGCACATGGCGAAACTCCCATGCAACTTATAAGTGTCTTTATATTAATCATTGCTGCATATTTCTAGAATTCTCTAGAGTAACATAGGAAGCAAGAAAAATTTATGGCTTACAAGAATTATCTAGAATTTCTTTGAGGACCAAGTAAGATAAAATAATATAGAAATAAGAATTTTCTTGAGGCAATCCACCAACTTTTAAATGCTATAAATAGGGGTTGCCACTTTAATTTTGTACAAGTCCAAGCATTTTCATTGTAAAAGTCTCCTACCATCTTCTAAAATCTTATTTTGATAAATACAATTTCCTCCTTCAACCATCTTGTTCAATTTAGATTACTTCATTTAATCTAATATTTTCTATCCCTAAAATTTATCCCATGCAAAGCCTACTGCATCATTTAATCTAAACCCATTTATTTCATCCACTCAAAATAAAAATCATCCCTTTAGTTACCAACTTTTGTTACATCGTGTCTCAACTCACAAATCAAGTGGAGGAAAAATAGATCTTCGTTGTACCTTCGAACCAAAAATCCCCCTTCATATTTGGTATCTGATGGAGTTAAAATCTTGGCTTATGAAAGAACTTCGTTTTGCTCACTCATATTTACACGTTTTCTTTGGAGAGGGGCCAACTTGGGTGAGCTGGCTGGAGTCGCATTCAGGCAGAGATTTGATAGGAGGAAAGGACCGCAAAGACGCAAAAGGAGAGCAATTTTGAACAGAATTATGGGACGATAAAAATAAAGATTCTGAGTAGAAGTGGGGGAGAAGTTTTCGATATGGCCTTGAGACAAGTAACAGACATAAGAGTTGACAGGAGGGATTTGGACAAAAGAATCGACAATGGCTTGCCAGATTGAGGTGTCTACTTCAATGGCGGCTGTCAACGTTGTTAGTTGTGTGGTACGGCAGATGGGGAAGGTGGAGTTCAGACTTTCGGTGTGTGTATACGTTTTGTGGGTGAAGTGTGTGGGGAGGAGGGTTTTGATCGGCAATGCCGGGATTTTGAAATACGCCAAAAAATTCTTCAGTCATGCTTGGTGTACAATCATGGATGACAATCTTGTTGACAATATGCCACGTGGCAAACAGTCATTAGACGGTTTAAAAAATAACTTATTTTTGCAACCAGCATGACAACTCATACACTATCAACCACATTGTCATTCAAGATTGTACAAATAGATTAATCCAAAATTCTTCGAGCTCTTTTTGAGCTAATTGGATTGCACATTCCATTTTATTTTCTGTGGAAAATATTAAGTGTCAAACTGAAAATTCATTCAATTTATTATGGTATTCAAGTTTTTAATCTATTATAATTTTGGTGCAATGGTTGATCCAATTTATCTTAAATTCCGCCAAATAGGCACTTGAATTACACATAACCTTTATAGGAAAGAATATTTCAGTTCACA